AGTGTCACTAGTTTTTCTAGTTTAAGCATTTCAGGTTCCCGTCTAAAGAACTCCAGTGAGAAGATACTGTGAATGCAGCCTCTTCTCCAGGTCTGGTCACTCAGGCACAAGAAAGGATCATGCCAGAACCTTTGCCGGCCGAAATGGGGGAGATCCTGACACACCCTTACCCACTGTTGGGGAAGAAGTGAGAGCTGAGTGGAGGAGGGCCCCGAGTTCTCTCCAGCTCAGGGGCCCACTGTGCCGGGCAGTGGGTGACACACGCTTCTGGTGTATTCTGATGACAGGTGAAGAGAGAGTCCGTCCTGCAGTTCAGGTCTGATAGCGAGGCAGTTACCAGTAAAGAGGCAAGGAGCAGGGAATGTCAGAAGTCACCTGGTCCAGATGTGCCACACTGGAGCCACAGCCTCCACAGCTGTGTCTTTTCTCCTTCTCTAGCCCTGCCTGTTTCCCATGGGTCCATGAAGCATGGATCCTGGTCCTCATTCTGAATTCCAGCCTCTATCCTGAGAATTCAGTCACTGCCTGGCTCACCCCAGCTGTTTTGAAAGGTGTAAACTTAGTCTCACAAGAACTCTGGGGGAACGCTGACATTGAAAGGACGTGCAGACTATGGTTGACCTGGATGAAGGAGGGGGTCTGGGACATGCAGACTATGGTTGACCTGGATGAAGGAGGGGATCTGGGACGTGCAGACTGTGGTTAGCTTGGATGAGTGGGGAGTCCTGTCAATACTTTCCAGCTGTAACTTCTTGGTGATTCTGCATGTAGCAAGGACTAGAAATTCTAAAGGTCGTTTTGCCATCAAAGCTGACTGCCTCCTTTTTGTATCTTGACCGGGTCTAGGTGGTTTCAATTTAACTATTTCAATGCCTGTCACAATGCCCAACATATAGTAGACATTCAGTGTTTGCTGGAGAGTGATTAAAGCACTGGACATCAGGACTGGATGGTTAGCTCACTCAGTGGTTAAGACCCAGGTTCATATCCCAGGACTCACATGGCAGCTCACGACCATTTATAATTCCAGTTCCAGGGATCCATAGCCCTCTTCCAGAGCTTTGGGCATCGGACATGTGTGAGGTGCACAGACATACATGCAGGCAAAACATCCCCCCCCCACACACACACGCACACACACACAAACACACACACACACTCACACAAACAAATGAACACAAACTGGACATTATAGCCATAATTACCTAAGTCATAATTACAGAAGGCCAATGGCAGCAGCCTTTCAACCTGTGCCATGGTCACCCCTGAAACAGAGCCGGGGAATCCCCATATGTGCACCACTGTACATGACTAAGTATGTTCTCACCTTGCCAAGGGTCTTCTCCCAGGCTATCATCACACCATTCTGACAGCAGCTGGCACCTTGCAATTCCCTTCCGTTCTGACAGAGACCAGAGTGGGTGAAAAGCCCACCCATGGAGAGGCTCAATACCACGTTATGCCCTCATTCAGACTCCAGCTGTGGATCTCTGGTAGCCCAAAATCACCCACAGTTTTGCCTGGCAGACTGCAAATTATAGGGCTCTCACGACCTCCCCCATGGTGCTTGCTAGAACGAACACGGGAAGGCACTTACTTAGAATTATAGTTCAGTTAGGAAGGTTGCAAACTCAGAGCAACCAAATGGAAGAGTCACATAGGTGGTGGTCTGACAATCAGGGAGGAACTTCCGCCGCTCTTTGGCTGTACCACTCTAGCAGTGGCTGTGTGGTCACCAGCATGAGGTTCTCCAGGCCTCCTGTCCAAGAGATTGGTTTTGTTGTTGTTTGTGGCAGACTTCATTATTGAGTCGTGATTGGTTAAATCCACAAGCCCAGGCTGGGGGTGGGGCTGGAAGTGTCTCTAACTTGGTTTCTTGGGTAACCAGCTATCTAAGGGTCCCACACTAGCAAATTCTGTGAGGTCAGCTGGAGGGTCTTGCATGTAAATAAGAGACAATCTTATCACTCCGATACTTGCCAATTTGGGGATCTCTGTGTTGTGAAACTCCAGGCAAGGACCACAAATATACTTGTAATTTTTTATATTACAAGTTAATTTGTGTGTGTGTGTGTGTGTGTGTGCATGCATGTGTGTGTATGCATGTGTGTGTGTGTGTGTGTGTGTGTGTGTGTGTGTGTGTGTGCATTCACATATCATAATGTGTGCGCAGAGGAATCTGACCCTCCCCTTCTACAGTGTAGGTTCTGGGGAATGAACTCAGGCAATCTCCTTTCCTCAGGTAGCCATCTTGTCAGCCCATGTACTTTTTACAGTAGTGAACACATTACTGGTTCGTCTTTGTTTATACTGGCAGGACTTTCTCTGGCCTTTGAGACTCTACAAATAATCACTTGCATTGCAGAGGGGAAGAAGCAGCTCCCAAAAGTTGTTCTCACCTCCACATGGGTGCCATGCCTTACACACTCACACACCAGACACACAGATAAAATAAAATACGTGCTGGGGGTGTAGCTCAGTGCTGAAGCCCTAACATTTATGAGACCCTGGATTTTGTCCCCAGCAACATGGACCCACACATGCCCACATACACCAGAAAATCTCGTTTTACAGATCTTAATTTGATTTTTTGTTTGTTTGTTTTAATTCTAGGATCAGGCAGCAATCCCCTTCTCAAAAGGTTCAGCCGGTCAGATTATTCTAATCTCAGAAACAGAGGAAAGGAAATGAAATATCAAAGTGAAAGTGGAATATAGTGACAGCTGATTGGCTCCTGTTCCTATCTGTCCTAGTTGGAGGGGCCTCAAACAGTTGTGGTTGGCTGAGACTCTGACACCTCTTATAAAGCTAGGCTACAGGTTGTTTGCAAGGCTGGCTAGTTACAGTGCAGTGTTTATGGACAAACTTAAGCTGTATAGACGTATGAAGACAAGTGTAAAGCATACATAAGCATGGGTTGCACCCCCCATACCATCCTGACTCCTTCGTCTGATAGTTTGAGGTACCTGTGTGTGCCGCCTGTGTTCTGCCCTATGGGGAGGAAACATGCGCATACTCCCTCCTTCTCTTGGACCACTCCCAAATTCTCACCTGTCTTCTACTCGCCTTCATGGCCACATTTAAGAGGGCCTTCTCCAAGAAGATTTCCCTGGTCCCCATGTCTAAGGGGATCGTGTCCACCCTCTGCTCCTGAAGTGCTTCTGTTGTAGTGTTGTGGATTTAAAAGCCCACCGGTGGGCTTTGTCTCCAATCTCACAGGCATGCCTGCCCCAGCTCCCCGAGGAGGGCGGGTATTCGAAAGCCACTCAACAAACATTCACTAAATGAACACACAGGTTTTGGAGCCTAAGAACTGTCCCTTTTTGTCTTTTCACGGTGAAACCAGATCAGTTAATTCCTTTTTAGACTGTTATTGCTAAAGCCTTGGCAAGAAACACCTTTGGACGGTTAAGGGTCAGACGTGCCGTGGTGCATCGTGGTCACATGATTTTCATTGCCAACCATCAAATCATGTCACAGATTTTAAGTTTGTGAAAGGTGACAGTGATGTCTCTTGGTGTCCTCACCCATCGGGCTGCCAGGGTCCACAGGTGCTCGAGCCCCTTAGTGTTTGTGGAGGGGGTACAGAGGCCACTCCCTCTGCCCTGTGCACTTTAAACCATCTCCAGATTGTTTATATTAGCATGACGCAAACGCTGTGTGGATAATTACTTTCCTATCATTGTGATCAAGCACGGTGACCAAAGGCAGCCTGTAAAAGAGAATGTTTACCTGGGCTTGCGGTTCTAGAGGGTTAGAGTCCATGGTGGCACAGGGGTGCAGGAGCAGCTGAGCTCACATCTTGGTCTGCAAGCAGAAAGCCAGAGACCAGACTGAAAATGGCATCTTTTGAAGCCCCGAAACTCACCCCCAGTGACACACCTCCTCCAACAAGGCCACACCTCCTAATCCGTCCCACATTGAGCCACCACCTGGGGACCAAGCATTCAAAGACAGGAGCTTTTAGGTGCCATGCTCATTCGTTTTTGTTTTCACAGTGTAAATAGCTTGTATCAATAGCTTGTAAATAGCAGCATCATTTAGGAAGAGGCTTGGCATTTTTTTTTTTTTATCTGCAATTAGTCGAGTACATGGATGTTGAACCTTCAGATGTGGCAAAACTGTCATATACTAAACATGCCAAGAGCTGTACACTGGTGCACACACAGCATATTACTAATGTTGAGTCATGTGATAGAAAAGAAAGGTTGAAACCAGCCTGCCGTGGTCTATTTTAGTCTGCAACAGAAGACCGCTGCCTGGATAATTTGGGCAAAGTATATATACAGACTTATAAGTCTGGAGCCTGGGAAATTCAGTATCAAGGCATCGGCAAGTTTGGTGATTTTTGATTCCAAGATGGTGTTTGCACCATGTTGTCCTGTGGAAGGAGAGCTCTGGTTTTCACAGGCGGGAGGGCAAAGAGGCAGAAGAGGCGTTGAACTCTCTCTTTCATAAATGTGTTGACCCCAACCCTCTAGCTCAATCCTCTTCTAGGTCTCAACCCTCAATACTTTCATAATGGTAATTAAATTTCAGTGTGAGGAACAGGCATCGAAACTTCTGGAATACCCACCGCCAATACTTTCAAGCATTTTCTTTCCAGCCTAGGAATTCACTTTTGTGAAGAAAGCACTGTTTTATGAATGTGTGTCTTGCCCATGGTTGCCAGAGACCAAGTCCTCCCCTTCTCCCTTCTTTTTGAGACAGGGTCTCTCTCTGTATCCCTGGCTGTCCTGGAACTCACTATGTAGACCAGGCTGGCCTTAAACTCAAAGGCATCTACCCACTGGGATTAAAGGCATGGACTACCATGCCTGGTAAGGACCAGTTTCTAAGGTGCACACATTGTAGGTCTTCAATCCTTGGTGAGGGATTGAGTTGTTATTCTATAGGAAAGCAAAGGTGTCATTTCCACGAGTGCTGTTTGTTTGGTCTCTTGATTATATGTGTTTCACAATCATGCATTCATTCCTCGATGGGTCTGCCCTCTTTTCCAGGGAGGTGCCCCTGAAGGATGCTAAGGAGTATGCTGAGTCCATAGGTGCCATCGTGGTTGAAACAAGTGCGAAGAATGCCATTAACATCGAGGAGCTCTTCCAAGGAATCAGTAAGTGTCACATTTGTATTTTTAGCTTAACTTAGCCTGCATGGTTATACTGTGTGGGGGTCAGAAATGAACCTTTGGATTTATCTGGTGCTGCAAACATCCCCTGAGAAGTCTGATTTAAACTTGCCCTGTGTGCCCTGCAACTGTGAGTTTATTTACACTCACCTCTTTTACATCTTTCTTTTCTTATAAAGAAAACATTCAATTGAGGTGGCTGGCTCACCGTTTCAGAGGTTCATCCATTATCATCATAGCAGGGAGCATGGGGCATGCAGGCAGACTCGGTGCCGGAGTAGAGTCTTACATTTGCAGGCATGGGCAACAGGAAATCGAATCCTCGTTTACATCTTTCATTTACTTTTTTTAAGGAGTATGACGGCTAGCTTTAATTTTCTTTTTTCAAAAGTGTCTTTTTAATTGAAATCAAATTATATCACGTCCCCCTCCCTTCCCCCCCAGGTTCTCCGAGGGAACTCCCTTTTACCCCCCCCCCCCTTTCCCCCCCATTTC